GCTGCAAATGCTCAAAGTTGTAATTGTAACTACTTGGGAATGGAATCCCCAAATGACAAACACTGCTGATTAAAAACACATTTAGAAACTTCTTTTTATTCTTTATAGTTTGATACTAACTCTATAATTTGAACTAATAGAAAAATTGGTATCTAGATGTTATTATAAGTTAATTTGTTTTTGTCTGGCAAAAGCATTTGATATTAATAGACCTTTAAGAAAATACTTATTAGATATTTTACAATGAAACCGTTCAAAAATGATTAATTCTATCCCCAAATATTTATGTTTCAGAAATTTTCATCCCTGAAAAATATTTTGGTTTATTTTCCTGTCTATATATATGTCCAAATTTTATGGTCAATTTTTTAAAAAGATTTTATTTATTTAATTTCAGAGAGAGAGTGAGAGAGGGAACACAAGCAGGGGGAGTGGGAGAGGGAGAAACAGTCTTCCCGCTGAGCAGGGAGCCTGATGCAGGGCTTGGATTTCAGGACCCTGGAATCATGACCTGAGCCTAAGGCAGATGCTTAACAACTGAGCCACCAGAGTACCCCTTTATCTTCAATTATTATGGGATCATGATAGTTAACAAAGTATCAAAAGATTACATAGAAATACAATTATATCTTTCCATAAAAATCATTTGGGTTCACACTTTATCTTTTAGTTCTGCAAATGTTAAATATTTTAGCAATTAGATCTTTAAAAGTTCATATCATCATATTAAAAATACTTCATTTTTTCTGGACCTTGTTATTTTTTAAAAGAAGCGCATAAATTATGCAATACTCTTTAGAGTAAAGTGAGTTTTTTTCTGTCACCTTGTAGTTCAAGTGATATGATAATTTAAATTTCAGTTATAAATTTACCTGTAAAATTAATCAATTTTGAAAATCCCTCCAAAATATAGAATAAATTGATTAGGCCAGGAATTAAGAATTTAAAGAGTGCCCTCTGCTGCATAAATTTAAGTGTGCAATGTCCTTATGTCCTCAATGCTTGCTTGCATAGAGTCACAAAATTTTTTCATGAAGCCATACTAAAAATAAAAATATCTAAGCATCACATTACCACTAAATATGTGTTTATGAATTGCCTGTCCTTTCATTTCTCTGACAAAATTTTACCATTTTATGTAATAAAAATACATAATTTAATTTCAGTAAACTAATAAATATTAGTTATTGCATTTAAGATAAGATTGCATTAAGAGATAAATAATACTCTATTTTAAGCATTATTAATTTGCCTTAAATAAGGAATAGGAATCCATTTCATTTTAATACAGTTGGACAAAATTCTATTATTTTCATTTCATGAACTGGCTTTGACTATTCTAAGTCTAGGTGTAATTTAGATGTAATTATATGTTTAGAATACACCTATGTTTCTCTATAACTAAGATTAAAAGTTTAATTAATACATAGTTTGAAGTGGTCTTCTTGAGCCTCTTATAAAATTCTTTTTTTTTTTAAAGATTTTTATTTATTTATTTGACAGAGAGAGATCACAAGTAGGCGGAGAGGCAGGCAGAGAGAGAAGGGAAGCAGGCTCCCTGCTGAGCAGAGAGCCCGATGCGGGGCTCGATCCCAGGACTCCGGGATCATGACCTGAGCCGAAGGCAGAGGCTTAACCCACTGAGCCACACAGGCGCCCCCTCTTATAAAATTCTTGAAAGAATGTTTACCCCAGTACTTTTTTTTTTTTTTAAGATTTTATTCATTTATTTGACAGAAATCACAAGTAGGAAGAGAAGCAGGCAGAGAGAGAGGAAGGGAAGCAGGCTCCCCGCTGAACAGGGAGCCAGACGCGGGGCTTGATCCCAGGACCCCGGGATCATGACCTGGGCCAAAGGCAGAGGCTTAACCCACCAAGCCACCCAGGCGCCCCACCCCAGTACTTTTTGATGACAATTTTGAGAATTAACATTTATTCTGAAGTAATAAGAAATCATTTTTATCTTAATATGAGTTTTTTGCTAACATTATCATTTGATTTATTAAAGTGTTACATTAAAAAACTCAGAGTGATTTCTGAACATGTATGATCTTGAATTTGGAAATTTTAAAATGTAGACTTTTCTCAAGTAAATTTTTATATTATTGTACTGATAAGTTTTGAGAAAATTTATCAATGTGTGCTTATTACACAAATGTAGTTAATTAGTATCCTTTAATGAAGTGAATTTATTAATTTACTGTATTCCTTTTCCTTTTTAAAATTTTCAATCCCTGACAGAAAAAAGATTCCCATGTTCTTCTCATGCAACTCTAGTAAATTAAAATTCTAAATATGGTGATTTTTAAACATTCCAATGAAGTTACAAACTTAGTGAAATTTTCTTATATTTTGAAACAAATTTCCAAGTCTAAGTCAATACTCAATTTCTTTTAATATTCAAATATGCCTAATCATCCAAAAACCTCATTATCCAAATGCCAAATATAGAACATATTTTAATGTACAGTGATTTTTACATGTTCCATTTAAGTGTGACACCAGATATTAGTATTTGGCAGTTTGTTCATTATTTCATACCAAATCCCCTTCTTGAAATCCCAAACATAGTCACTAAGAATAAAAATAATATCTTGGGAGGCATCTGGGTGGCTCAGTCATTAAGAGTCTGCCTTCGGCTCAGGTTATGATCCCAGGGTCCTGGGCTCAGCCCCGCAGTAGGATCCCTGCATAGCGGGAAGCCTGCTTCTCCCTCACCCACTCGCCTGCTTGTGTTCTCTCTCTCTCTGTCAAATAAATAAATAAAATCTTAAAATAAATAAATAAATAATAAATAAAATCTTTTATTTTAGGTTATAAAAGTTATTTATTTTATTTATTTATTTTATTAGTTATTTATTTAGTTATTTATTTATTTTAAGTTATATAAATTATTTTAAGTAAGTAAGTTGGGGTCATTAGCTGGCTGGGTCTGCTTATCTATCAGGATTTTGGACTGAGGTTGTTAATCTGTAGTTGTGGACATTCATAGGCAGTATTCATAGGACATACTTTTATATCAAGCCCTTTTGTTTGTTAGTTTTAATATGTTTGCTGTTAATAAGGCATTTAAAATTATAGTCATAAATGGTGCTGGTGTTTTTGCAACCTGAGTCTTCTGAGGTTAAACCCTAACATTCTCACATGTTCTCTTGAGTTCTATGGCTTGGTTCATGCAAATATACTTATATAACTTTTTAATAAGATGTTTAGCCATTGATTGAATTAAATTAATGTATTTATGACCTAATTCTATTTTAAATTATTTTCATAGTATTACTAACTGGAAGATTCATATTTCTCATAAATATGTAAATGACATTCTGTTTTGATTCTGGGTACATCTTCTAGATCTGTGAATATGTTTCTAAGATCCTTCTAATGACATTAAACTAAAATAGAACCAAGTGTGTGTATTGGTTAATTATAATTACAATAAGGTTTATTAACTAACAGCCACAGAATCTCAGTGGTATACAACAATGAGACTTTACTTAGCTGGACTCTGTGAGCCAACTAAATGTGACTGATCTAGACTGGGCTCTGCAGGAAAGACTGGTTATGATCCCATCTCTCATACTCCCATGGGGAGCAGTGAGTCTGCATTGCTACATACTTCTCTTTGCTATGGCCAAAATACAAGAAGGTAAAACCAGTTGCATAAACACTTTGAAGGCTCAGCCTAATGGTGCCCTCCAGCATTCCACTGGTGATGTCAGGCACCTTTTCCATTTTCCAAAATACTGCAAGTGATGATTTCCTCATTACTTACCATTATCACCATTTTCCCAGCTGCTTATGTTTTATCACCATTTTTTCCTGTAGCATCCCCCTTTTAAGTATCATTTTCTACGTCAGTTATCTTTTGCTGCAGGAAAAACACAAAAGAACAACACACACACACACACACACACACACACACACACACACACACACGAAATTCAGTGGCCTAAAACAATGATTTATTTTAGCCCATATGGATACAAAAAAAGGCGAGCCAGATCAGCTTGTTGCCATAGTAAGGTTGGGCTCAGATCTGCTTTATGTTTTTATTTGGGGACAGCAATTCCTTGGGGAAACTTTTCACGGTGATGGCTGAGACATAAGAGAAGAAGCCCAACCACACAGATTCTTTACAAACGTCTGGGTCTGTCATATCTGCTAATATCCCATTGTCAAAGCCTAGAAACAAGGATTGGGGAAAGCAACTCTGTCCATTGAGGTAGAGAAAAGAGATTGAGCATTTTTTAACACTAATCTGGTGCACCACACACAGATGAGGATTGGCCATCTGCAAGGGTCGGTATATGCTAATTACCACCAGAAGTAAACAATTATTTTCAGTGAGTCACTCTGACAGACATATGGCCATACAAAAAAAGTCAATAATTGAGATATTAAAGGACCAGACTTCAATCCTAACTTGTCATTTGTTGTACAAATGGATAAATTAATTTCAATTATTTTAAATAAAGATGCCAGTGAAATTGCTTCATTAAAACAAAATTGCAAATATTTTTTAAAAAGTATTTTTATATCTCCAGTAAATTATTTCTTAAATTACTTTGTGGAGTCCTTGGCATTCTCTTTCATATCAAAGGATTCTTTATTCATATATAGTCAGAATATGAAGTTGGATAAAAGCCATGTTAAAATTAGATATATTTATATATCCTCCTATTTAAGAAAACAATATGAATAAGAGAATGAGAGAAATAAATGAAAAATACAGGAGAAAGCAGGCAGAAAGTCAAATATTTTGATACCAGCAAAGCCAAATTAAATATGTTTAACTTACTCTAATGCTAATTGTTAGAATAACAAATTAAACCAAGTTTTATTCAATATTTGTAATTTTTAATAAGCTAGAAAAGTTTTCCTGTGATTACAATGGCCGTATACAAGTATAAAAATAAGGAAAATAGAAAATCAAATATTGAATGTGTTCCTACAATTATTTTTAAATTTTAAGTCTATTTTATTTTTAATTCTTTATTTAGAATGCGCTCATCTTTGGAAAAAGAAATAGAACGACTGGAGTCAGCTTTGTCTGTATGGAAATGGAAATATGAAGAACTGAAAGAATCAAAGCCAAAAAATCTGAAAGAGGTATGGAGGCGCACAATGTCAGGGGAAAATGAAACTGACTGTTGTCTTGTTTGGATGTGTTACCTAGTGGGCGGAAAGCTCCATAGACGAGGAAAAGTTAAAAAATTGAATTTCCTCCATAAAAGGGATATTTTCACTCCCATGTCCATGTGAACTCAGTCAAACTCAACCCATAAGGAATCTTTTTCTAAAGAACACATATTTTGAATGATCAGTGTGACACCATTAACTATCCATTCCAGGCACGTTTAAAGGGACTGCTAAGGAGGTCATTATATCATAGCACTTGCAGTAAACAATTTTATCTTTCATGTAGCAGTCTGAAAATATCAATATATCTCAAGTGCACCTAGGTTCTTTTCATATTGTCTTTATGGGTTCCTCAGGATCAGGCACTTGCCTTTATAATTTTCCTTTGCATTTTCATCGCTAAAATGCTGTCTGAACCTTTCCCATGTCAATGATTTATTAATATTCATTGTTAAAACAATATTAATTGCCCATCTTGTGTATACCAAAGCATCGTTCCAGGTAAGCAGGTGGGGTAGAGTAATGAGCAAAGAAAAGAAAAATCCTGACAAAATGATGACAAGCCAAATGCTTCAAATGAGTCTTCATTTATTTGGGTGTGTATATCTGTGTGTTTATATTAATTATATATTATACATTATATATTATATGTATATACACACATGTATATCTATGTATACAAAGCATGTATATGCTGACCAGCTGTCTAGAGAAGGTGAGTATCTAAATTCTGTATGTAATTGTGCCTCAGAAACATTATTCCATCTGTTGTTAAAAAAAAGTGGTAAGCCATATTTCTCTTGGTGAAATCCCATCTTAATGTTGCTTCAGGTTTGTTTCCATCAAGTGGTGAAGTTTAGAGTCATTAAGTTTGCTGAAATCACATGAGGAACCTTAGTTGCCAGCATACGCCTGCCTTCCGAGTCACTCGCAGGCGTCCTGACGTCCGTGGAGGACGGTGATGGTCACACACCGGCTCTGTTAACACAGTGGACCCCTGAGATTTCAAATGAGGGAGAGCTTTTCCTAATACTATTAAGCAAATATCTCCTGCTTAAAAATCATTTATTAACGAAAAGTAATCTCAGTGAGAGCCACAGACCGTTAGTTTGAGAACATCTCTCAATGAGGGGTAAATGGAACAAGTAAAGCTAACCAGCCACATCAGGTTTACCTCTCCTTTGTAGATTCGTGTTAGATTGTCAGAGTTGTTTTGTTTCTAGCTCAAGCTTTAGGTATGTACATACAGTGAATGTGTGTGGACACATACCCTGCGTTTATGTATGGATTCATGGACCATAGGATTCAGACACCTAACTGAACTGATGTGAACAGGGACAGTAAATTATTGTTATACAGGAAAAATAGCTCAGAATACAAAAATCATTTATATTTAGAGCGTATGTGTATTTGCCCTTATAATATATTGGGCTCTAAATTTGAGAAAGCTAGTATTGATGATAGAATGGGTTTTAATTATAATTTTAAAATAAATGTGCATTTACTATCTTTTGCCACTAGTGGGCAGTGCAGACTTGATAACATTAGTTTCTTAATGCTTTTTATTCAAGCAATTAACATTTATGTAGCAACTGTTTTTGAAAAGGGGCATGATTTTGAGTTGGTTTACAAAAGGATATGTATATTTTAAAATGTTTAATGCTTTATATTCAGAGATGACATTTTGGACATTAAGTGGGAACAGGTCTACTTTAACAAAGCTTTATAGATGAGAAAAAATAAAACCAATGTATTTTATTTTACAGTATAAAATGGGCTTACATTTTAATGTAAAAAACCCATATAATTACAATTTAATGTAAAAAACCCATACAGAAATATATATTAGTACATATGTAATCCTTTTACTAGATAAAATTATAGGGATTTTGGAACAGGGAAAACCTCAACATTGTCGTGAGAAACTTGTTCAACTATTTAAACTTTGAGCACATGTTTCAGTTCAGTGAACTACAAATTTGAACATTGAGTGGAAGTGACAATGAATAAAAAAAAGTTTTACAGTAGATGATGTAAAGTTCATTTTAACAGAGATAAAGAAAAACGTTGTTTGAATTATTTATATGAGATTACTTTTTAAAATCTCTCTACTCCCTAAACCTGGAAGCCTTTTTGAAGAGATGTGGTATGCACATATGTTTAAATTATTTTAAAAAATATTGTGGAATATTTAAAAATATTTAAAAACTGAATAAAAATATGTTGTCACATAATTTTTATGTATGCTTTGTTTAATTGTTTTATAATAGATTAGAACAAGAAGAATTTTATGGTACATTTAGAAATGGTGTTGCAGAGTAATCATTAGTGTAAAATATTCAAAGTTTCTGTTCAGTTGAATGGCAGTCTAGAAATGTGTCATGATATATACTTCATGTGAATACTTTGGGACTTCACGTAAATACTCCTTTTTACTCCAGTCCTCAAAAATTATGGTAAATGACCTTCATTTTATGTAATTCTTCATCTATAAAAAGCTCTTGAATACAAGTGTAATTCTGTTTCAGACACCTGAAACTGTTACAAGCAAATGCACGCCTGGCTAGGAACTGCTGATACAAAGATTAGCAATTTTTAGAGATGGAAACCCATGTGCCTAATAGACCAGGGTTTTTAAAAATGTATTTGAAAATCTGGCTTCTTTAGAGGGAAATCATTCTTAAATCACTGACATTTAGTGAAGAGTAAATATGAGAACTTAATTGTAAAATCTAATACGTATTTAAAATGCAACCAAGACAATGAGTGGTAGAAATGATTATATTCCACATGCTGTTCCCGTGCTGAATTTAATACTTATTCAGCTTTTCCTTTGCACATCTGTAAGTATTGATTTGGAACTAGATGATGAATTCCAATTTTTTGAAATGGTCATTTTCATGAAATCTCATGATTTAGAGAATCAAATATTCATGGAAGTAATATTTATTACAAACAATTATGGTACTTTTGCTTTAACAATAAATGACTCTGATTCTTTCCATAATGGAAGAGATCTTACCATATGTGGAGAATACTGCTAACATTTTAAAATTGGTCTCAAACTGAAAAATGAAGTATAATTTGTCTTTGACAATTTTGTACTTTTACTGTTTTTTTAAGGATTTTTATCGAGGAGTCTTCTCTCTTTTTGTGATAATAACAATGTTTCTAGTAATTTATAATTTACAATGTTCTTTTATAAATATTTATGTTAAATACTTACAGACACAGGCTTTGTGGGACTATATATGGCAGTAAGGGCTGTCAATAAAGCCTTCTCTGAAATACTTCAAAACATCTTTCTGATTTGGGGGAAATAGAAGGTTAGAATTAGGATTATATGTAGCTAAATTCTACACTAACACCATTAATTTTTCAGAAATAAGATTTTTTCTAAATTTTTGTTTTTTAAATTTTTTACTTGAAGTTTGGTTGAAAATATATTCACTTCTTAAAAGATTATGCCAGTGGACACTTAGGTTGCTTCCATAATTTGGTGATTGTAAATAATGCTGCAAGAGATGTAAGGCTGTATATATCTTTGTGAATTAGTATTTCATTTTGGGGGGATAAATATCCAGTAGTGTAATTATTGTGTCATACAGTATTTTTATTTTTAATTTTTTGGGGGGAAACTCCATACTGTTTTCCACAGTGGCTGTGCCAAATTACATTTCCACCAACAGTGCACGAGGGTTCCTTTTCCCCCACATCCTTGCCAACTCTTGTTATTTCTTGTCTTTTTTATTTTAACCATTCTTACAGGTGTGAGGTGTATCTCATTGTGGCTTTGATTTGCACTTCCCTGGTGATGAGTGATACAGAGCATCATTTCATGTGTCCGTTGGCCATCTATACGTCGTCTTTGGAGAAATGTCTTTTTATGTTTTCTGACCATTTTTAATTGGATTATTTGGGGGTTTTTTTGGTGTTGATTGTATGAATTCTTTATTTTGGATAGTAAGTCTTTATCAGATATGTTGTTTGCAAATATCTTTTCCCATTCAGGAGGTTGTCTTTTAGTTTTGTTGATTGTTTCCTTTGCTGTGCAGAAGCTTTTTATTTTGATGTAGTCCCAATAGTTTATTTTTGCTTTTCTTTCCCTTGCCAATATGGAAGCTATTCTGCACGCATAAGGAAAATGTCCTCAATGATACTTATTTGAAATAGGTGGATGGTGGAGTGTTAGTACTGCCGTGAGCTCAAAACTTATTTGAAAATTGTCTGATTTTGATATTTTTGTGACTTAAAGAAATTGCTCCATAGAAATGACCAAAATCGTTAATATATCTTATGAATTCTAACTCTAAACTGTAGCTCCTATTATTGCTTTCCATCTCTGCCACTTTTCCAGTCATAACCATCACATCAGCTTTGCTCCCTCCTACCGGGTCTCTTATCCATCACTGTTGACCTTTTTATTTTTCCATCCAGCAACCAGAGTGATATTTCTAAAAACAAAAACTGGATCGTATTACAACCTTGTTTCAAACATTTCAGTGACTTCTCTTTTACTTAGAGTGTAGCTGCCTTCCAAGTGATTGGAAGTCTAAGGAAATCTAATTCCACCTGATTAAACCACCAGGTGTTGACGATTCAAAGGATGTCGATAATGATATCACTCTTTTCTATCCTCAGCTGCTCTAATAAGCAGTGCCTCAAATTTCAGTAGATAGGACCCAATAGAGGATAATTTTTGACTCACATATACCCCCTACACGTGTTTGGAGGGTAGCCTTCTCTTTCTGTGCAGTGACTCTGTGCCCTGGGCTCTCAGAGGTCATGCAGCTGACACTCTGCACCTGGTCAAGATTAGAAAGAAAGAGAATGGGAATCATGTGGGGATGCTTTGTGCTCTAGGGTTGGGGGTGATGTACCTTATTTCCACTTATAACCCACAGGCAAGAATCCATTTGCATAGTGACACCTAATTGTAAGGAATGTTGGGAAATGTATTCAAGCTATAT